GGGCCTACATAGTAATTAATAGACACTTTACCTCTGAAAATCGTCCAAGTTACCCAAGTTATTCAAGTTTACCAAGTAAGTTCTTCTGGTATTGCTCCCAAGTCAAGCAAGTATTATTTTATTCAAAAATCGTGCCAAGTAAGTCAAGTTGACTGTCAAAACTTGCTTGACTTGCTTGTTGCGAACTCTGCCACGGCCTCTGCCACCACCGCCACCGCCTCCGCTATCATCGTCGTCTTCCCCACCACCGCAGTTGACCTTACAACGGCTTCCGCACTTTTTTCCAGGCTTGCATGTCGGCTTTGGCGGGCCTCTGACGGCAGTGACAGATGATGGCTTACCCGGAGGAGGAGGGGGGGGAGGAGGGAAAGGGTTATCATCGTCTGAATTTATGGTAGGCCAGGGCCCAGGTGAATATGTCCAAGTGACAGGTGTCTGTCCTGCCCTGGTCCTGGTGAGAGTGACTGGCGGAAAATCGACGCTCGAAGTGAGGCCTACTGTAGTCCGATTCTTCTCATCCTCATTCCTGCCGCTGATCCATATCACGTTCCACACTTCGATCAGGGTCGTGGTGACGGGGGGCAATGTTATGACTGTGCTAGTTGTCACAATGGTTGTGTCCCAAGTGTCGAGGAATGAAATGGTGGCGGGGGGGCGAGAGATGGTCGTTGGCTTGTCGAGGGACCATGGGGGCATGATGAGTGTGCACGGCGGGAAACATGACGCGACTGGGTTTGGATCCTCGTAGACCTCGGGCGCAACGTAAACGGGCCCGGAACCTTTGCCATTTGACGGCGCCTCAAGACAGGCGCCACTCTGGCAACCCTTACCGCAGTGAGCCTCAGAATCACCGCAGTAGCCGAACGAGGAACAACAGCTTCCCTGGGGCCAGAGACCGCAGAAAGCGCCGTTGGCCGAGGCGCCGCATGATCCATCAGTCGTTTCCTGTCCCACCAAGCACTTTCCACTCACGCAGCCAGAGCCGCAGTGTGTCTCGCTACTGCCGCAGTAGCCGTACGACGAGCAACAGTTACCAAAAGTGCTGCCCTCGCACTTAAAGCCGCCATTTTGGGGACCGCATCTTCCATCAGTGGAAACGGGGGCACTGTCACCGTCACCAGTACCCGAATTGAAGTCGACGGACCATGCCATTGTGCCGCCAAAACAGAGGTTGTTAGCAAACTTGCGCTTCATCTCATGTGTCTCCTCGTCGTCGTAGCCGATCCACTGATCATCCCAGATAAGCTCCTTCATCATGGATTCAGTGTTGAGGCGCGGCGTAAGGTTCTTCTCCTTGATAAGCTTCTTGATCTCAAGGAGTGACATGACTCCCGCCTGGCGGGTGCACTCGGCCGGCTTACTGGGCCCTGAAAAAGGGCATAGGAGCTTGTTGCAGCTAGAGTCTTTGATAAATTATCAGTTGACATGCACTAGCCATCACTGAAGGGCGACTCAGCGTACCTGACAATGTGTACCCTCTTCCATACCAGGCAAGGCCAAAGTTGATCTTGGCCGGATCTAAGTTTGCATACCAGAGGGGCAAGGTGTTCTAAGTCACGGCCTGTCAGTGAATCCTGCAGTCATATGCTCATGCCCGGGCATCGCCCAGTTAGTGCTGGCTGAATACTTACTGTGAGGCATTAGTAAACGGCGTAAATAACATGGTTTCATTATAGACTACCATTATAAATCTCGCGCACATCTGCCTGGCCGCGCACCAGAGATCCCAAAGTCTCGACATCGGAGTCCCAAGAACCATGCAAATCGTACGCCATGAATCCGAAGAAGTCGACATAGGGCTGCATGGCTTCCGCGTCAAAGTACCGCAGATACCAATAGTCTGGTGCCAGAGTCAAACTAATGCCATACTTATTTCCGTATGCTTCTCTCATCTCCTTGACGAGCTTAGTGAAGTTTTCAGTGTCTCCATTAGCGCCTCCCCGCTTCGGCTCCACAGGGTACTCCCAGTCCAGGTCAACTCCCGTGAAGCCGTACTTATCCATGAACTCAGCCGTAGATTGAATGAAGGCGGCTCTATTCTCACGGGTAGAACAGAGGTCGCTCCAAGTCGTGTGCGTGTTACCCTCGTCACTGAATGTGTAGCCGCCAACGGCAATCCAGGTATTCGTGTCAAGGGCCGTAAAATCCTTCATTAGTGGGATATCAGCGTCATCCCAGGGCCGAATTCTGAAGGTATTTGGGTCAATGGAAGCAAACGAGAAAAAGAGATGAGTGTAGTCCTTGGCCTTGATATCCTTGGGAAAGACGCGGTTGCACAGACGGTCTCTAGTGTTGGAAGCGAGGTAATACCCAATAGTCCTGGCTTTTGTCGATCCAGAACCCTCCCCGCATGTTTTTGGTCGGATGATCTCGCATGAGCCGAAGTCTTTTTGACACGGTGTAAATTTGTTTGGCCCGATGCAGTGAACTTCGGATGTTCCACACCATCCACCTGAGATATCATGCTTAGTAAGAGGCAAACGCAAGCCACAGAATCAACAAACACTGCCATCACTCACCCCGACTACAGCATAGGTTCATGCCGCACTTTGTGTTTCCTCCTTCGGAGAAGTTGCCGCACATGGCAACAGCATCACAGTTGCTGGTGCAGCCGACACTACAAAAGTCTTGACCGTAACCACATACTCCCTTAGGACCGCAGCAACTGTTACAATCAGAATTCGGTTCTTTTCTAAGCTTTACTTGTCTTTTACAAGGACTGAAGCGTGAGAACTGACCTTTTGTCGGGGCAAGGGGCCTTTTTGCACAAGAGGCCTCCATTTCCGTCCTCTTCGCGCTGTCTTTTGTGAAAGATGCTGCCCGAGAAACCCGACTCCACGGATGAATCGCTTCTATTGATTTGGCTGGTCGTGAACATGGACATGAGGTTGAGATAAGGAATGGGAGGTGCATGCTCCGGAGACTGGTGGGTGATATCCGGGGATTGCACCGCCAGAGCGCCCTCCAGGGCGATGAGGGCAAGCCCAAGAAGACACACTGACTTTTGGAAGCGTGCCATCTTTGACTCTAATACATTTGCCTTGAGGAAAGGGTGAGAAGCTCTGTGGAAGGTTGTATTCGATATAGGATACCATGGGTTTTATGTACATGTACTGGTACTGCTCTTCTACTCATGCCAGGGTTCTAATTTCCAGTCTCTAAGTCTAACGGCGTTTTCTACTCCCCATCTCCATTGTATGCAATCAATCGAAAATGTGCAAACCCACTAAAATTCTCACCCTGCAGTCAAGGATGCAATCCATTTTTTTGTGGCACAGTTAGAGGAATCGATAAGTTTTTTTCTTCCGACACATTTTCGGGAGCATTTGATTTCTCCCTGTGGCACGGTTAGGGAAAGATTCAACTTTTGCATGTGGCACAGTTAGGGGGACGTATGATATTTGCAGGATTGATCCTTCGCGTGCCAAGCCCCCAAGAAACGCCGAGCTCTCATGACATGTATGACTGGTCATTATATTGTACTTAATTTGGAATGCAACGAGTCTAGCAGGCGAGATCTGGAGTCTTGTGGTCGCGGAGCAATCGGCTCTGTGCGCAAGCAACCGCCGAGAAATGGAGAAAGGTTAAACGCGCTTAGAGCGTGAAAAGCTTAGGAACAAGGTATGAGACATGAAATGAAAGGGTCAATATGAGCCATAACCAGAAGGACAGCGCTTAGCAGGGGACGAACAGGATTGTCAACACTATTAAGCATCATGGTGAAAACAAATAGCTCAAAAAAGGACCGGGATTGACAGTGAAGATGAAAGTGCAGGATGCAAGAGAAACTTGCGGAGGTTACCTGAATAGGTGCGGGTCTCGTTCCATTAGGTATCGTTGGCAGGAAGAATGGGACTCACGTCAATTTCCACGCAATCACTTTTTTTTTACGCATTTACATGTATGCTTTGAGTTCGAATTTTCATATGCGCATTTGTCTCGTGAACCATGGTTCGGCTGGCTTCTGCTAGCGTCGTAACGTGTTCTCGGTTATGTCTACTGCATAAATACCACCATCTCTATCAATTCCGGGGACTCTATCTTCTCTTCAGATACGCAACTCTAAAGCGACCATGACAGCAAATACTGAAGGAGACGCGTTTGGCAGACTTCCCGTTGAGCTCAGGATCAAGATCCTTGAATTGTCACCCGACCTCTTTTCACTACGAAGCTTAGCCCATGCGTCGCCGGCCTTAGGCAGAGTACTCGACAGATATCCGCTCGAAATTGTGGAGGTAGTCCTAGACGTTACCGTTCCTGTGGAAACTCGTCGGCTGATGGGCGCGGTTCTCAAAGCTCGGTTTTTGCGCTTTCCAGCATCCCTGTCCGAAGCTCAAAATGTGGCTAAAATTGACTCGCCTGCGATCACCGACGAAATGCGTTCGGCCAGACTGGACCGGGCCGCCGCGGCAGTACGGTCCCTACTCACTACCGCTCAGAATGTCCATGCCTGGTCCCATGCCTGCCTCGAACATTTGATACAAAAATCAATGGAGTTGCGGCCCTCCACCCTCATTCGCCTCTGGGATGGCCGTCTATCCTGGAAATGGTATGGAAAAGCCGAAAGTCATGGCAACTATGTCCCACAGTATACTGGCCCGCCTTCATGGGTGGAGGAGCAGCGGATGGTCAAAGCATTCTGGCGAATACAGTTCTTCCTAGAACTGCAGGGCGATGATAACAAGAGTCGCCTGATGAATTGTTGGGCAATACAAGAAGTTGACGTTTTGTCCAGAAGCAGCCCGGATGACTTTTATGACATGTTCCGCTTCCAGCGGGAGCAGACCTTGACCGCATATGATTTTCTTGGCGAAGTTATCTCGGGTACTATTCCTTCGGTAGAAGCTGTCCACGACGACACTCATGGGTTGCCAAAGATACGTTGGACTGAAGGTACAGTGCCAAGATGGTCATGTGCCGAGCCACCTTCATTCGGGCGTAACAAAGACATTTTTCATCAGGGGCGAGAATACCTTGACCAAACACCATTGTCGTGCCGATTTCTAGATATGATGTCTCAACCTCATACTGAAGGGGATTCGCCTCTATTCGGCCTCTCATTTCAACCTTATCGCAGATACGGGTTCGCCATATGGGACAACAAGCGTATGGCCGATCTGGGCATGCGGGACCCGACAAATACGTCGGTCTTTAGAAACCGTGTATTTTACTCGTTTAGATGGTGGAGTATCTTGACTGAGGAGGACGTGCAACAGGGCTTGCACAATCAATAGTAGACCTTAGTATCCGCAGATATCAAGGTCTCGTCTAATTGGCGCAAGATCGAGACAGGCAATAGAAAGAGAGGATTGATTGAGTGTTTTGGACCACAGAATGAGATCATCAATAAAGCTCGTGATAGAGAACATGGTTGATGCATATACGAGACGTATAGCTTAGCAAAAACAAGAAAATATCGATGTTCACATGCATTAAGGAACATGGGAGTTCGACCCCGCTGAGTGGATCGATTGGAGAAAGCTGGCAGAAAATGTTTACTGTGAAACTCTAGGCAGATCTTTAAACTCGGGCCTACCCTGAATCCATCTCCATAGCTCCATACGAAATCACTGCTTGATATGGAACCCTTACAGGCCACAAATATTGCTCACTTATTTTAGCGCTGTTGGGGCTCCACAGAAGTATTCTATGGATGCTCGGCATATCAAACGAAAATAAGAACGCGAGTGTAGGCC